AATTTTCAGTATGGATTGCCGTTTGAAAATCAAAAGTTGATGGTGGTTTACCTAATAAATATAAGGGTGAAAAATATTAAATAATTATATAATTATAGAACAGCGTAAATCTAAAATTTTGAAAAAAAAAAATTTGAAAAAAGTGCATACTTAAGATACGCGTTATTTTGGTTTTTCTATTGCCTACGATCGACACCAACGTTAGTGTGTAATACACGTGACACCACAACCTAGGACCGGTGATCAGCAGACATCATCATCATTGAGCTACCTCAGTCACCGCGTCACAACCTCACAACTATGGTAAATATTTGGTTCTTACCAAACATAATATAGAAAAATTTGTTTATCTATAGGTTTGTTTGTGTATCTWAAATAGGTATTTATATAATATTTATGATAGTAAAATTTAAAGTGATGCTGTATGCTTATATAATATATCTGAATATCTGACAACAGGCAACCGAAAGGTTAGGTTGTAATATTATTTGATCTTAATCGCAGACTTAGAATACTATTTAGGGAATAGGTAATAATATTCTTGATAAAATGTCAAAAATAAATTAAATKTATGAAGTTGTATGGATATTAAATTCATTATAATATAATCAGTACAGTGGCGCACACTCAAAAATAAACAGGGGTAGCATATTGAATGGAAAAATACCACCCACCCACCAAGTCACTTTCAAAAAGAGACCCGCGGGGGCTTCGCCCCAACGCCCCCTTAGGTAGTATTGTATAGGTAACCTTGTTCGTAAATATCACTATAGTGTTAAGAAGTAATAATAAATATAAAATTGAATAAAAAATGTAATCATTTTTTTTTTTTATTTAAACTTCAACAATTTAATATTAAAGTATTGAACGCTAATGTAAATAAAATATATTATGTTCTCTGCTTATTATTAAATATAATTATATTTTAATACATATATAATAAAAATGTTTCCTATAAGTACAATTTATACACACTGGGACTAGGTTACATACTGTTGTATATCAAATTAATATAATAAAGCTTTTTGCAACAAGCTGCTGTTATTGGCAAATGTATTAATAACAGTGTCTGAGTCAATTTTAATGTCATTTTCACATGAAAGTACCATTAAATTTTCAAGGTGACCTTCAGTCATGGTACTACGCAGTTTATTTTTGATTATTGTTAGTTTGGAAAAAGTTCTTTCTGGTGTAGTACTAGCAACCGGTAATGTTACAGCAATTTTCAAAGCTATGCTTAGGACAGGAAATACAGACTGTAAACCACTTATTTTAACGAGCTTCAATACTGTTGATAAACTGCATCCATTTAAAGGAAGCTCGGGGATGGAAAGATCTCCTACTGGTTCTTGAGTGTTCTGAGAACCTTCCAAGTCACTTTCTAAATGGTCAATAGATTCATCTTCGGTGTCTGATTGAGAATCATGAAGACTGGAAGTAGTTTAACTTTTTCAAAATTAATATAACATTTTATGAATTGTTCATATTCTCTTTTTAAATCTTCCTTATCAACAAATTTACTATATGTATCAGAAAATACTTTAAATGCATTTACTGGCAATTTATTGAGATCATTAGATATTTCTTCCATGTAACGTCGAGAAAATAATGACAGATCCTTAAATAAACCACTGGATATTTCATTGAACCTTTCTTTTATCTGAGTAATAACTATATCATATGCTATAAAATATGTCCTATTTTTATAATTTTGCAATGGGTCTTCAATAACTTCGTCTACAGTTATTTCGTCAGCTTTACGTGGTACCCGTCTTATTCGATTACTTGGAATTGGCATAAAATCTTCACATTCGTTATTTGAACACTTTTTGAACTCTTCGACTTTGTTAAGGACAGTGGAAAATTCTATGTCACTTCTACATGTTTCTAAGTGTTGTATTTTTTCTTTAACTAAATCAATAACTCCGATAAGATCTATGTCTTTGGTCTGCAGCATTTTACTGAGAGGAGTGATAATTTGAAACATTTTTTTGTATGTGATGGCTGTAGTTAAAAATTTATCACATAAGATATTTTCTTTTAAACTCCGAGCCTGATGAGTACCTTTGCGATCACGTACTACTGATTATCAGTATATAATTACGTATACAGTTGTTTTAGTGTTAGTCTGACAACTAATGATTTGTAAGTTTGATAAGGTACCCAGACAAAATATCGCCGGTAAAATATCGCGTGACCAAAATATCACAACTAAAATTCTACTTTAATTCAACACTATTATATGCTTGAAATATATTATTTATTTATAATTAAATTACTGCTATGTTTCATGCTGGTGATTTGTATACTGGTGATATTTATTCCATGCGATATAAYGGTTTCGCGATATTTTAGTTTCAATTATTTGGTCACGCGATATTTTACCGGCGATATTTTGTCGGTGATTCGTTTGATTATCACCAATCAATAGATCAGTTTTTGGGTAAATGTTCATTAGGTATCATAACATTCATCCTACAACGACCGAATTCATAAGTTCATAACACGTAACAATGTGTCCATGGATAGTAGGCATGCACTGCACATTATTATTTTCATTTTTCAAACTATTATAGTAATAATATATAATAAAGATATGCAAAAAATGTAATCGATTGGAAATGACTATCAATAAAAATGTATACTAATAGACACAATGCAAACGATGCAGGTTTAAAAATCTAAGTAGACTTAGTTGAAAATTTTATGTTTAAAAACGATTAAAATCTGAAGAAAATGCAAAGGCAAAGAAATACATAATACTCTATTTTATTAAGTAAGCGATATGATGCCCCACAAAGTCGTACCTACATGTTATGTCTTTTTCGATGGAATGTTGTCAACTTTAAGACCTTTTATTAATCTGAAAAAAAAAATATCCGATTAGACGAATATAATATACTAGTACCTATCTTAATAAATTATAGATTAAAATATTAAATATCTTTTGATAAAAGGGTTATAAAAGGATATTTATTTTATTGATATATTTATAAATACCTAATTATCTAGTAGAGGTAGATTAAAGTAAAATGTGTATAATACCCAACCAAAATCGAATCAAATTTTCTAATCGTTTATCGAACCAATCATTTTGTTTAACATCGAACCGAACCAATATCAAGCATGTTATATTACCAAACTGAACCCAAACCGAGCTTTTTAAGTTTTGATTTAATTTGAATCTTGTTGGTTTTAACATTTTGGTTTAACATTAGAGTTTTATTTTTTTTTCGATAAAATAAACAATTAACAAAACTTAAATCAAAGAATAAACACTGAAAACTGTTTTTTTTTTAAATAATGTTTGATGTATCCTAATTATTTTTGAAGTTCAGATTAATAATGTAATTTTTAATAACTAATAAATAATTAATAATTCGGTTTTTTTTTTAACTAGAAAAGTTTTTTTTTAACTTTTGAATTTTGAACTAAAACCGAACCCCTAATTTCTGTTCTATGTTTTCAAATTTGATCAGTTCAACCCACTCTCTACTATTTAAATATTTCGTTAAACTAATAATTCTCTGATAAAACATACTCTTCGACTCCGTTTTTAGTGTCTGGTTCTGTTGTTTTGCTCAGAATCTTTTGTAAAGCACCAATCATGTAATCTAAATTTCATAAATTAAACGTTTAATGTTGTAAGCAGAGTTAATAAAACAAAAACCATCAAGGTTAAAACAATTTGTATACTTTTCGTTTGTTTTTTATCATTGGCGCACGGGTCTTGTGGTTTTTGTTTCCTTTTACCCAACGAGTTTAACTCTTTTAAGTATTTCGCTTCACCGGAGACGGGATCTAACGTCAACTTGGTCACACCTAGCTTTCCCATGATATCTTCTTCGTTAAATGATGTAAATGTGTCCGTCATGGATTTGTCAATACCAGAACCTACAAAAAACAGAATCGATCCAATCAATAATATAATCTAATAAAAAATAATCTAATCTTAATCAATAATCAGTACACAATATTTCCACCATTTTACAACTTTTATTCACCAAACATTGTGGCRTAAAATTGMTATCGTACCTATCTTTAAAAATAATAAAAGTACATGGCATTATGACGGATAATAATATAATGCTATTGTCTATCATATATCAGAGAATGAGTGGCAGACTGGAAGACTTCTAAAGACTTATAAATCACTTATAAATAAAAAGTGATTTTTCAAAATGCTTTTTTTTTTAAAATTTAATTCCATTTTAGAAATTTGAGGAATAGAATTATTTAGGAAAAATAACTTTTTTAAAATCATAGTAAGACTTATAAAATGACATAAATTATTTTATACTTTTTTCAATTTTTTTAAAATTTGTTGATTTGACAATATACATTGTAAAAATCTTTCAAACTTAAAATAAAGTTAACATAATAATATATCAATGTCCTCTTTATATTTTGTCTCAATACTTGGACAAAGACAAAGGCCCAATTATTGTATAATGTTAATGGATATTAAACACTGCTTGTCCCTATTTATACACTGAAATACACAAAATGGTAAGCTTACATAGGTACAACCGTCGGTCGTACCTATACTTAAAAAAAATGATTTCATACATTTATTTTTAGATTAAAATACACAGCACTTGGGTATAACAATGTTTAAAGTATAAAATTATTTTATCTCAATATCAAAGAATACAATTATACATATTGATAGGTAATAGAATTTGATAAGTTTTTTTGTAGGTATAATCAATAAGTTTATTATTCTAAGAATTTGAGACTTCTATTAGTGTATAATATTATTGGTATTTTCCTCAGAGTGCCTCAATACTCCATTCTGCACGACTTTCCCTAATATTATATCATTACGTTTCGTTATAAAATAAAARATGCAATAAAATATTGTTTGTTTAAAACTCGATTTGATTTCTATCAGCAATAATTGTGATTCCTCGTAAACAGGCATACTATTCTTCTAAACWTATAAAATACTAACTTTTCGAGTTTTTCTCAGTGACATCTTTTTCTATTTCTTCTAGGTCTTTTTTCCGTTTTTTTTCCTGCATTTTTTCACCGACCTTGGCGTAAAGTGATATCAGCTGTTCTTCCAGCTCACCAACAATTTTCTCTATGCTTTCCGGGTAACCGTAGTCAACTTTCATGCATCTCAAGAACTCCAATGCCCATTGTAATTGATTGACGCCTGTGGCGGAGTGAACAACGTACAAATTAGAATATAATTTTAGTAATTACGTCTGCAAGTATATCACTTATTGTTATTGTGATATTTATAATGGAAATGTCTTAAACTATGTATTTATTATTAATTAAGGCCCAGTATTCAATGCATTTTTAAGTTTTTTTTTGTGCTACTACATTCATTGCTAAGAAAAGTTTGATATAATTTTCATGATATTATGAAAATAATATTTATAGTTAATATTGTACATTTTTATATATTTAGTGATTTTGTTGTTTTAAGATCATATTTGATGATGCCAATTTAACGATTAAATACTTTATAATGCATGTTATTTTGAGAGTTTTCACTATGTACTATTGTTAGGTGTAGTAAAATAAATTATTGAGTTTTTAAACTATTTAGTTGAAATACAATTTACCATTTTAATTATCTCATAAATATTTAGTAGGTAAGAATTTTATAGAATATATATTATATAATATATATATATATATATTTTTTTGGTATAATTTATATAATATATTTATTAGTGAAAATTTTGATTGAGAAAAAATTTTTTTTTTTTTAAACGTATTTGAACTCTAGTAAACGCTTAAGTGCTTTCATAGTGTTTAGAACTTTTAAAGTTATTCTTATTTACATTATATATTTGATTTACTATAGTTTTGAAAAGTTATTTATTTAAATATAATTTAAATTTGTCAAGCATGTATTAGAAATTTAATTAATTATAAGAACCTTCCACACAATTGTTGGCTTGAATGTGACCAACTCTTCAAATATATAAATAAATGAATATGAATTATATTTTATGTGGATACTTTTCAAGTTAAGATGTGACACAAATAACCGCAAAATATTCAAGGATCAACCAAAAACACCTAATACATATAGGTATATCTGATATACGACACGAGCACACAAATGTAATGAATTGGCCTGTGACTGTATAAATTAACAAAAGTGGGTAGGTTTTATTGAAGAATTCGAATTAAAAGAACGCAAAATCTATAAGTTAGAAAATAATAGTTATCAAATTATGAATTTAACTCTATAARWGCATATTACGGAAAAAAGTATTAATTTTACTAAGTTTAAAATAATTTAATCTACTTTTTAATTAGTACGTGGATCACATGCCGAGTGACTGCGTTCTTTATAATTTCCTAAATTATTTTAATAAGCAATTTTATTAAACTTTTATCAATGTTTACCTAGTTTATATATTTATTTTACTTTACCTACATTTTTATTAAATATTTGAACTATACATATTATAATAATTGTTTTATGTTAGATAGCAATTTAAACTCATATCATACAATTATTGTATGTCTATTTATTCTACTAAACTATATTATCAATATGTAGGTATGCACCATTATTTTACTGAGAAAAATAACTCAAATATTTATATTATTATAGTACTGAATTGTTTTTATTTTTATGTTATTTGTTAATATATAAGTATAAATCTATAAAAAACGAAAAATTGAAAAAAAAATATTTAACTTGTTTTATTACCTATTTTTAAATCAACCGATAAATCTAAATTATTTAAACTGTATTTTATTTTATTTGAACAGAAAACGGGTTGTGGAAAGCGAAAACACAAGAAAATACAAGAAATCAGTTAAAAATATGTTASCCATATGGGTAAAACGGGATGTCCCATGAAGTTCTGACAAATGTAATAACTTGTATTCTAATCAATATTTTTTCATTTTTTTTTTTTATATGATCAATAGACTCTAGTATTATACGTATAATATAAACTTTATTTTTTTTTTTACAGAATATAAAAAATTTAAATGTGATTTAAATTTGTTATTTTAAATTCAGAATAGCTAATTTATAAGCATATCGAAAAAAATTGATTTAACGTTTACAGTATTTAATTTGAGTAATCCGTTAGCAACTTATTTACGTTAAAATATTTGTTGAATTTACTGCTACTAAAAAATGTATCATACCCAACAATAAAACCAGAAGACAAAATGAAACGGAGATATCTATTTTATTCTGTGGTTTCATCAAAAGCGATTATCGGTTATCTGGTATACGTTCTCATAATACGGGTAACCTTGGATCTTACATAAAGTTGGTGCGAGTAGACGTTTTCATGTTTTTCAGAGGTTCAGATTTCAGATCATAAGTAAACGAGACCCAATCAGCTGATCGAGTTTTTCACATAACGCATGTACGTTATTCTTTTTTCAATGTTGAAAAAATCTAACTCATTCATATTGTTATCCTTGTTATTTTTAATGCATTCACCACGTCTTCAAAAACATCCATTATTATTTAAATAAAATAACTAATAAAAAAAGAATGTGCAATGTGTACCTTTCAACGCAGGAATCTAAACAAGTAATGGAACAAAAAATACAACAGAAATATGTACCAAAAATTGTTCCATTTTTACAATACCATTTTTTGTTCGAAAATTACTGACTAGTGACCACCACCATCAATATTACAGCAATCATGACAGTTATTTATCCAGCAAGTAAATTATATTACCTAGGTACTCAAGTACTCCTAAAAAAAAAAACCATACGAAAAATTCGAGGGAACATGAGTCATGAAACCTTTTTAATGCTTCGTATGCGAAGCAATTTTAATGAAAACTGTTGAGTGCTTACTATTATATTAATGTTTAACGGTKTTAATGTTGTATAATATACAATTTACCTGATCTCGAAGAGAATGTTTTTCAAAAATATCTCATGAAAATTATGAAGAATATCAACTATCTAGATGATAAAGTGCTGTGATAAAATAAAATTAGTTAATTATTAAACCAAGAGTGGTAACCAACATTGTATACTAATGTCAAAAAAAAATTAGTTTCAAAATGTAAATACCTATTGATGAATGAATTATTCATTTATTAATAATATTAAATAATCTAATATATTATACATATTATTAATAATAATTAAATTGTATTTTATTGCCATAGGAAGTTTCATAAAATATGGTCCAATTAGTTGATTATTGAAGTACTGTAGGTACATACCCACATTGGAGGTTATTGATTTGGTCCATTCCAGTAATGATAGTTATGTTTCATCGGTGAATTTATATTATTTATATAACTATTTTGTACTTGCGAAAACAATAGTAAAATGCCTTGTTGTTTACTGTAAGTTTACATATCTAACTTGGAACCTAGTACTTATATATTTTATTATAAGTTTAAATACTATTTCAGAACTTTGATCGTTGTATAAGACTAAGAATACAGATTTTGATCGATAACTTATTGATATATTTTTATTGAGTTGTTGTGTTCCAATTATCAAGTCATGATGAAACTATTAAAATTAAATATGTAAACATTTACGTATTCTATTTTCACAATTAATTATTTTAGTGCAAATGAATGAATCGCTATTAAACTTAGTAAAAATAATACCGACATCAACATTCCAAAATGTAATTTAGTGAATTTAAATACTATTGATTTATTTTTAATATTTAATAATAATAGGTTTTAATCATTTAAATTCAAAAATCAATATGTAGTGATCATTAATGTATGTCATGACAATTTTGCAATATTAACTTAAGTTAAATTATGGTTATAGTTATTTTTATAGTTGATTTATTTTTATTTTTTAATTAGTTATTTTATGTTGATGTAGTGGTTAAGTAATCCTAATCTAAATAGTTGAATGTTGGTACTAAGCTTAATTTACAAAAAATTAATATAATAATATTTAATGAAAAAAAGTAGGTATTTAGCTAGGTATTTTTAATATATCCTTAAATTGTATGTTTCAATTTTTCTTATTAGTATTAAAACTTATGAATAAAATATATATTGTGTTACAAAATCGTTCACTTTATATTCAAAATTAAAATTAACAAATTATCACTCTTTCTCTCTTCCTCATTCCAGTACACTTCCCTCTATTTTATWAATATAAGCATGACCTATCCATTCTTTAATATCTATGGTTAAATCATGTTAAATGTTCATTCTAGTTTATCTATAAACGTGATAAGTGATAAGACCGTAAGTATACCAAGAATCAATAACCAGTGCTACATTATGTAACCGTGATGGTAAATTGTAAAATGTTATTTGTATAYTTTATAGCTGATATCCTGCTAATTAAGCTGCTGTAGRGGATTATATAGGAAGGTCCAAATGTTCAATTCGTATGACCATTGAACTTATTACTTAWTAGATATTATCGATTATGACCGCTATTGGTATCATTAAACTGAGATTTAATTTCATTTTGACTACAGGTTTTTATTCTTGGGTATGATCATTTTTTCAGTAGCAGTAAATTTAACGAATATTTAAACGTAAATAAGTCGCTAACGGATTAATCAAATTAAATACTGTAAACGTTAAATCAATTTTTTCAATACGCATATGAATTGGCTATTTTGAATTAAAAAAAAAAAAAATAATTTTTAATCAAGTATAGTACTAGAGTCTATTGATTATATAAAAAAATATTGATTCAAATACAAGTTATTGCATTTGTCAGAACTTTGTGGGGCACCCTGTATATTAAATTTTGAAGTGCTCCGTATAGTCGAAGATGGTGTAGAGATGAATTATATTGATACCTAGTTAATGATAGATTTATGCATGGTAGAAGTAGTTAAATTTCTCAGTCGTTGAGAAAGTACTCTCAAATTAATATCTGATAACAAGGTAGGTAGATAAACATGGCCAGATTTAAGTTTCTTTTTTAATAAATTACGTTATTAATCCTACAGTTATCTAATTGGTTGCTCACATTAAGCAGCCGATTAAAATATGTGTAGTCATACGAAGAAAATTTCATATTTATTAGTAAATAGTAGCAAAACTCAAGAATTTTCTTTGCACTCATTCAATCGTTTGGCGTTTGTAAAAGTCAAAGGATCCCAYAAAAAGGATATTTACTTAAGGCTAGGCCTCATTAAAGATCAATTTAATGATTTAAAAAAAAATTATAACATGTATAATACAACGTGGCAGTTCAAAGTATAGTAATAAATGGACCGTTTCCGACTGGCGAGGAGTATTTAATATATCAAGATTAAGAGCTAAAGTAGATCAGAAAATGAAGACTACTTTGCTCACCCAAAACTCTGAAATTATCCATCTACATAAACGTAACTAGAGGAAAACCTTGGATGCGGGAAACACATCCCATACGGAAAAAAAAATGAGTTATAGAATCACTTGTTTGGTATCGTTAGAGTGTTAGCTCCCTGCTCCCAAAATGTTATCTTTAGTTGCATCTATGCCTATACCTCTCTCAGATAGTAAAACGTGAGGTGATAAATTATTATGATGTAAAACTGCGTGTGCGTTACCAATTTTGATTTTCGATTTCTTGCCGTATACCGACCACAGTACTGTGATCAGGTTGTCGAACAGTGTGGCCAGCGGCTGTTGGAGTGAAAACGTTTTGTTGTGTCCGGGTGGHGGTGCCACTCGAAAGTTGTATAGCATAGGGCTGAACGAAAAGTTTTCATTAGGACTGTCGCGCTCGTTCTTGGGGGCAGGCACGGACCTAAAAAAGTTAATTAATATGGATTATATTCGATTGATGTTTGAATTGCAGGCAAAGTGGTTTCATACTCAGTTTTAGCCGTCATTTTGCTTGAAAAATTAAAATGTTACTATTATTTCGAAAGTAATTTAAGATTTTATATTTTAATGGAACGTTGTTTAATAAAATAATAGTCAAATGTGTTTTTCGTTTTTTTTTTTAGCCAGCATATTCTGTAGTGTTTGCGGCAACAGATTTGTTTCAAACATTATTATAATATTATCATGCATCCAAAGACGTTTGAATTCGATGTACAGTACAGTAGCAAAAACGCCTAACTCACATTAGATCAAACTAAGTAAGAAGCACTGTTTTTTTGTGCAGTATAGACTAGTTGTCTGACGTTTAAGATAAAGTCAATAGATAATGTGTTGTTACAATCGAAAAAATGACAACATGGCATAACATTTTGTTACGGTGTGACGGCGCATAAAAAAACAGCAGTCCTTTTCAGGACTACTAATCAGAGTTCACGAAATACGAAATACACCACGGGGTCGAATGAGGGGATAAATTACAACCCACAAAGACACCGCACAAATACAGCAGCTAGCCCATCCGTTAAAGAAGACAACAACAAAAAATTACAAGATTATCTCTTCAAAAATAGCTAAAAAAAACTGTCCAAATACACCGGCTGTACACTCATAGTTTACTAGTCGGTATGGAGAATACCGGATTATATACCGGACGCTTTCAATAAGAGAATGATTCCAGTATTCCTTCAACCGTTAAACACTCAAGACTACAGCGAACACCTGAAGAATAGAATACCTTCCGAAACAGCTTTAGTAATCGAAGTCAATCATCCAGAMMAGTAACGCWACCAGCTGTGACCTGCAATCAACAATCAACCATATCAGCCCAAAACTCTGTGCCAATGTTGTCGTGAATTTGTAACGTCCGGTCACACGCACTGACACTGTCAAGTCGATACAGCATCGAACCCACATTGGACTACTGACCCACAGACCAAATAGTCATATCTGAAGTCCGTGAACTTAACAATACTTAACAATGTCTATCGACGATTATTTCAAAGGTACCGAAAAAGGTACGCCTAATGTGTTTTAATTATTATTAAACACAATACTAAATATAGCGTGCATTCGAACTCGGAATATCGTTAAAAATAATACATTTAAAATGATGAGAATAATATAATGTTGCAACATTATATGTCTCACCTGTCTTGACGGTGTGCGATTTTTTCCTTTGGGGTTATCTGAAGTCACGTCTTTACGAGTCAAAACCACGTACACAAGACGAAGTTAAGGATGCAATAAAAATGGAAATTGTATTATTAGACGAAAACTTGCTTCAACGCATTCATTCAAATTTGTTGGACTAACTTTCTTCGTGCTACGAACAAGATGGACGTCATACGCTCGATGTTCTTTTCAAAACTTAAAATGGCACTTATTTGTGTATGATAAAATATTGATAAAATAATTGTACGCCTAAAACATCTTGAGTTATATCTATTTGTTTTGTCCCTATTCCCGTGACCCACCCTGTATTAATGGTAACATTCCAACATAAAACTTATATTTTCKTCTGYCCAAGCACTTTTTAAAACAGGTGTTGTAATATTCTCTGTAAACATAATATAATGTATATTATAAATATTTATAAATACATATTATTTATTAAATATAACATAACAAGATATAATATTGTGACCGAATAAGCCAATATTTTAGCCCATATGTTAATCCCCTCTGTTCATAGAACACTTTCCCAGTTGAAGAATAGTCACGGAACTTATTCTTCCTGTGGGATACGGCCTTCAAGACCATTCCTGCAAACAAATTTGCCTCCATTTTTCCCTATCCTCTGCAACTTATTTCCACAGTATATTCGGTTCTACTGCCTTAACATCCTTTTTGATACGATCCTCCCATCGTAAACGTGGTCTTCTTAATAGTCTTTTTCCAATAGATTATCTTTAATAACCGCCTTAATAAAAGAACTCTCTTTCCTCCAAGCATGTCCAGCCCACATTAATCTTCTCTTTGTAATTTCTGCTATAATATCTGGTTTTTGAAACAAGTTTTTCAATTCATCATTGTGGCGTATCCTCCATTCCCCAGTGTCAGAATCGATACATTGTCCATAAATTCTYTTAAGAATTTTTCGTTCAAACACCGCAAGTCTTGTTTCCTCTACCTTTCTCAAAGTCCACGTCTCAGAGCCATATAAAACTACTGGTATTATCAGSGTCATGTAAAATTGTATTTTAATTTTGTCGATGAGGTTTTTGAGTCGAACATACTTCCTAAGGCAAAATAACACCCATTTCCCATTTAAATCCTAGTGTCCACTTCCATCATAATGTCACTATCTTGTGTTATTATGGATCCTAGGTATTTAAAATGTGGCACTCTCTTAAACTTATGGTATTCTATTTCCATAACCCCTCCTTGTCGGTATTCTTTACTTCTTATTCCAATTATGACATACTCCATTTTTTTTTGTCATTGATCTTTAGACCACACTTGCCTGCTATATTTATTATTTTTCTACAATGCTGTTTCACAATATCTAAATTATTCCTCAATAGGACTAAGTCATCGGCGTATGCTAGTAAACCTATAGTCGTGTTACCCATCGTAACCCCGTCTATAATATTTAATTTTCTGACAGTTTTTTCCAGGACTAAATTAAAGAGGACGGGAGAGAGAGCGTCTCTTAGTCTACATCCGTGGTCTCATAGATTGATACCCAAATTTTACGATTAAAGACCTCGGCTTGTATTTTAATTAAGGTTTTTTTATAAACATCATCTACATAATTTTTCCTTTAGGTCAATTCRTCGGGGATATTTTTTGAAGTATACCTCTCTAAAAACTCTTTGAATTTAAAATTATTTACCTTGTACAGTGAAATAAGAGCTGATAGTAATGCTTCATTAAGATCGGAATTAAAATCACTTTCCTTGTTTGTATTTTGTGTAAATAATGGTTGAACTGTACTTTGTTCGCGTCTTTTTCGGAGATTTACTGCATACTCATGCTTTGCAGTTTTCAAGTGTTGTGTTACTAAAACTGTTTACTTGCAGGTAATTTAACTTCACACAATTTGCAAAATATTATTTTACCATMGGAAMTAAATACATGTTTCCCAAAATATTTCACAAAATTAATTAAACTTGACGAACATTTCGGCATTTTGTAAATAATTATTAAAAAAAAGAACGTTTATCAGAAAAATTGTATAGTTGAATAAACACAACATATGAGGACTGCAGCAAACTGAAAACTCGTCGAATATGTAGATAAAACCCACCACGCAGAGTTTACTATAAGCAGTCAATCTATACTGTTATTCTTACCTATACCTGTAATATTAGTCTATTAACGATAGGCGATAATGGTCGTTCACAGGCGATTCCGACATTCGTGTATACATATAGTGATATAAATATATGAGTTTTTAATCGCATAAAGTGTTATGTTTATATTATATTTATAATATTAGAAATATGCCATTAAATCTATAAATTATCAATGTATGAATTTATATGCTCAAAAATGTCAAATATGCAAAAATATGCAAAAAAAAAGTAATCAGTCAAACTAAAAAATTGGATTCGTTTTTTACTTCTTGCAATACAAATTATTCAAATATATATAATGGGATGG